ATGATTTTTTTTAAGTTTTCATTATCTCTTTCCTCAAGTGATCTGCGATATGGACTCTTCTGATTTTTTTTTTAAAGGTTTCCTGTAACATCTTGAAAGGTGGCCGTGCTTTTGCATCGAAGTGTTTTTTTTATTGAGCGTCCAATGATAAAAATGTTTTTTTCTTTCTTTCACTCATACAGACTTTTTTTTACAAGTATCTATTATTGCCTGCTCAACGTTCGTCTTGCTTTGATGCGACGTCACTCTAGCTATCAAGATGGCGCAGGGAACCGTGAAAGAGTTCGTCGTAGCAGCACTTAGCTTTTTTTTAGGGAATATCGATAGAAATGCAAATACGACGATCCTTTTAAGCTGAGAAGTATTTTTTTTTCACTTGAAAAACTGTAAAGGGCTAGAGCGGGAAATGATTAATCTATGATCGTTTTTTTTGGATAATAATATCACGTTGTCTACATAGGTTATGTAAGCCACTTGAAAGAGCTTTTTTTTCTTTTTTGGGTTCATTTACCGCTCTAAGCCGTTTTTTTTTTGGGGGGGGGGGTTTTTTTTTGTTGGGTGCTAATCGTCTTCATGGCAGCAGCACAGGTGCTGAAGTACGAAATTTTTTTTTCGACGCGCTCTCAAGTCGAAGTGCTATATTACAGACACATTTTACATACACTTTTTTTTAGGCGTGCTGCCGACTTATTGACACTTTCACTTTTCTCTTAAATCTCCACTTTTTTTTTTCATGTGCACTAAGAAAACAATCCATTTTTTTATCCTATTCAAACTACTTACATTTTTTTTTTAGGAATATATAACTGACCCTTTAACTTTATACTCTTTGAACTTTCACAGGTTTTTTTTCATGCACCCTGAACTAAAAAARCACTTCTCAGAATTCCGATCGATCGATATATTTTTTTTCARTGGTCGACATGGTCATCCTAGGCGTCTTCTCATGGCTATCGACAACGCTGTTACAGCCATGGGCGATTCTGAAAGCTATTCTGCCTATTTGATTGAGCTTGGAAGACGCTTTTTTTTACTGAGGTTTACAATCACTMCAGCACATGTACGTGACCACACTTTYGTCATATTTTTTTTTAGAAGTAGTGGCATTTCAATTGTTATTACTTAAAAAATTGCGCATAATTTCTTTTTTTTAACACACTCTTGACGTCATGAAATGTTCAAAACTAAAGTGAACAAATAAGTCTTTTTTTTGACATTTTTACTTTTATAATCAGCGAGACGTGATAGGTC